TCAGTACTGGGTCAACAGAGTAGCACGTAGATTCTTCTCCATCAACAGTAGGATTTCGATTCAGCTTCACATAACTGCGCTGTAGTTTGCACCCTAAGAGAGAAAGGAAAGGTAGTTAAAATGGTAGAAATAAATCCTAATTGATCCTTACAATAATAAAGGTCCATATTTTTTCCTCAGCTTTTATTAAAACACAGGTCCCTGACAACCCATTTTCACAGTAGTGAGGTTATCAAGATAGGATGATAATAAGTTGGGGGATAGAGGCAAGGTTTTGAAAGGGGAGCTATTTTTAAAATTGAATTGCACAATATAACTGAAATGGAATCATGTATACCTAGTTTTTTAGAACTACATAATACACAGAAAATAACCCCTCATGTTTGAAAGCTGTTAAGAACAGATACTGTCAGCACAATGGCTACTTAATTGCATTATGAAAAATGTCAACTGGAGTGAATGGATAAAAAAAATGGCAGCATTTATATAATAACATCAAGGATAATTTTTGTATTGGATGATTTTTATAATGTTGCAATTATCTCACTAGAAAGGTATAATGTAACTTAACAGGATCTCAGCTATGGCTCTGTTTCCTGACATACAGATAAGTACATTTCTGCTGCCATTGAAGTCAAGGAGAAAACAACCATTACCTTCAATAAAGTTGTCTCGGGTCCAAGGTAAATGGGAACTTACAGAACAAAACTGTAATGATGTTAAGGGAGACCATGATTATTTCTCCAGCTCCACATGAGAGGAAACTCTTCTACCTTAGGAATATTTCAAAGCATTTCCCTGAGATTGCTCCCTCAGGTGATTTAGACCAAAAATAGAATTAATACAATCTGCAAATGAATATAGACTTAAGATCTGGCCTATTGCATTCATGTCCATTGTGTGTGACATCTGTGACGTTTGCAACTTGTTTGATTAAATGAGGTCTACAAACAAAAGCTGAGATTACTTTGATCGGTGAAAATCACACAGATTTCAGTGGGTGAAAAATTAGGCCTGATTTCGCCTCTTGAAGAAAGAAGCTACTTAGTGTAAAAAAATTATAGTCAAGTTATTTAACATTGAACTGCACATAAGGCAGAGACTTTCGCTGAGTACAAATTCACTATGTTTACAAGTAGTATTTTAAGCAGTCAGTAGTTAATGAAGTTAAAATAGATATATACTGCTATTGTCTTTTCTAAGTAAACTATATCTGCTTCTTTTTCTAGAATACATATATATATATATATATAAAACATATATATATATATTTTTCCCTGGCTATTGGTACTGGAAAAGTGAAATTGCATTTTCCCCAGCACAAATTACTTTCACATCTACTCACCATCAGAGCAAGTATCTTCTAGCAGCACCCACGAATGAACAAAAGCAGAACAGCTGTGGGCCAGTTTATGATTTGGCATTAGGAGTTCATTGTGCTTTTCTCGGTCATTATTTCCGCAAACTCCACAGGTCTTTCCTCTCATCCATGAAGCAACAGTAACCTACAAAACAGCACATCTTTGTAGGGGATACTGAAGTGATGGTCTGTTACACTGTAAAGCACTAAACAGTAAGGAAGCTAGCAATCTGTAGAAAAAGCCCAATACCTTAAGGATCACACCATCAAAAGTCACATTCTTCAGTCCATATGTTGGAGCTTCCACAATAACTGTTGTCCCGTTTTTATAAATTTTAATATTGCCTGTAAAAAGACGGTTCATTGTAAAGTGATCTACTTAATTTCAAAATAACCAAGAAACTGACTAGCACAACGTAAATTGTATTTTCTTTTGCAATATGTATGCATAAATATATTTTTGCTAACAACATGGAATGTATTTCTTCTATTGTGAAGAGAAAAAAGGAAAATAGAAAAAATCTACTGCTGGTCCCTATAGCTAAAACTGACTTTTGCATCCAGGTTATTAAGTCCTGAAGTGATAAGAGCATGTGTGGAGCTCCTGCTAAATATTTGGAACAAGCACCTTCTTTATGCAAACACCAACAGGGACATACAGTATAAATAAGAAAGGGCTTTATTTACACCTCAGTTATGCTAGTGAAAAGGAAGAGTATACTTAGTATAAGCAATATAGGAACAAAAGTAATGCAAATCTGAAGAAAATAAAGTCTGTAGTTTTTCTTTGACTTAATCCCACTTGCATTTTTTAATGTTGACATGTTTCTGTAAAGTTTACAGAAATACAGTCTTGATGGTATTTAGTTTATAAGTTGGTCCTGGAAAGGTGGGTTTCACAGCTTACCTTTTTCATACTCAGAATCTTCACTATGTGTTAGGACTGGCTCTTCATTGCATGTCACAAGAAGAGATGAATCTGGTACAGGACAGATTGTGATGTTTCTTGAGAGAAAAAGAAGAAAAAAAAAACATGATTTATTTAAGATGTGGAATGTATTTATGTAATCTATTTATGACCAATCTATTTATGACCAATGAATTGTTTTCTTTCCAAAGTCCAAAATTCATTGTGACTTTGGCTGTTGAGATTCAACCTGTAGAGAAAAGACAGAATGGGGACTTGTTGAGCAAGTCATCGAATAAGTGATGGGTTGTGAAAACAAAGACGAGGGCAAATAACAAAAGCGCTTAAGAAGGGGATTCCTTCCAGGACATCTTTCTCTCTCTGCAATATTTGACTGCAAACTAATTTTATGTGGGAGTGAGACATCATCCATCCCCAGACTAACTTTCTGAAGTTTTATATTTAGTTCTTCAGCATTCACATAAATTGCACTTACAGTGAGCTTGTATTTATGTGAACCTCTCTTGAGAAGGACTTTGGATCAACCTTTTTTGTAGTAATGATGAATTTTGGATGTTCAGTACAGTCTTGGGCCACTATCAGGCTGCAGCTTTTATTGAAAGAGTATGTACTGTTCACATGATCAAATGTGTTGAATTCTCCCTCGCTGACTTCACATGTGGCTGCAGAAAAACACAGAAAATAAATGGCAGATGTAACAAGGATACATGTGTTGCTGCTAAGTATTTGAAGGCTGCCTTGGAGATTTGTTCATCTAGCAAATAGGAAAGAATCTTCACTATCTCCTAAGCAGGAGTTTTCAAAGCTGCCAAAGTCTTTAAGGACGGGATACCATTATAGAAAATTAAATGCTGTGGACTATACTAGTGTTGATTTTGATTACATGATAAATATTAAAGTGATTGAAATGTACTAAATTCTTGAGAAACCATGATTGTTAACATTTCCCAAAAGTGTTAGACAGCAGCCAGCTAAAACACAGGCATTTCTTTACTGAAGAAAATTAATAGGACATAAATTCATGATCTGGCTCTATGCATCATCTGATGCCTCTCAATGCAGAGATAGTAACTTCTTAGAAGTGGAAAAAGATAATAGTCACTCTGAAAACCTTTACAGTAATTTAAAGTCTCTTTGTCACTTCCCAACAATAGTGCTTCCAAGTGATGGAAGTTGCTGAGAAAGCAGATCTTATGCCCTTCTTACAAGGAAAGACAAGACCCAATGATAGCAGAGGATGGATCTACAAACATTGCTTATTTATGAGACAAGCATGCAAGTAATATTTACATTGATCTTCTTGTGCTATTTGTGAGGCTATTGCAGGAAGGAAATTCCAAGCAGTGATATCTTGAGCCTCATAAGTTGAAGATGGGCCTAAGGGCAGAGTGAATGGAATGCGGAATGCCTGGTAGTAAAATGTTACCTGAAAAAGAAGACAGGAAAACAATTTAAGTTCAGCTGGACCACGTTATTCAAGATATAAGTGCAAACAAAAAAAGACCATCTTGAGAGAAAAAAATGAAAAAAAAAATCCTGAAGAAGTATTTCTGCAATTGCAGTTGCATTAGTCACTTTAGAATGTGCCCAAGCCTCAGGGTTCTTCTGTGAGGAACTATTGTCTTCTGTTCTAGTGTCACTTCCTGACTTTTATGAGAAAGGGACACTAGAAGCTAATGCAAATAGAGAAAGTCCAAGTGATAACTAAGTGACTTCTTAAAAAAACAAACAAACAAAAAACCAAACAAGTTAAGTAACTGGATAAGTGGATGAATGTGTGTGGAGAGGTAGGCAGCATCCATTACTGGCTCAAAATTGGCATAATGCGCCAAAGTGGTAAAATCCTTTACCATGATTACAAACAAATTGCATTTACCAAGAGAATCAAATTAATGCCTATCGTGCTTACATTTTCATTACCATATATTAAAAGATCCTGCAGTACTAAAGCAGCATTTAAAGTTAAAGACAAACTAATTTTTCCGTTTATGAATAGCAAGCTGTTTTTACTGTGCTACAGAGTCGCATGGGAAATTTTTCAAAATGGTGCACAGGGATTTGGTGGACAAGGGCCAATTAATCATTGGGATGCTGCAGACGAAGTCTATGCAAACTGTTCTGCAAGTACAACCTTTCTAGTTTGCTGAAGGCAGGTTGTGTAAGTAGGTATCCATACTTGATTAGACTTTAGGGACACAGTAGCTTCCCTAAGAAGTAATGTTTTGCATTTTTTTTTCCTTTACATTAAATATCAAAAATTTTATTAGCTGAAAAATCCATTCAAGGTGAGGGGGGAAAAAAAGGACACGTACCGTAGAAGTTTTAACTACTGCATCAATTGTTCGTGGAGATGTTGCAGCTACCCTTACTGTAAATTCATGAGATGGATTTCTCTGATGTGCTTCTGAGAAGCCCAACATGAGTGCTGCTCCAGGAACATACTGCATGAATCTAGAGATAAACAAGATGTGACAAACTCAGGTCCACAAACAAAGGATGAGGATTACTGGCAGTTCTGAAAAATTGAGAAAAGAATAGCTGAACTGAAAAGTCAGAAAAACATTACTTTGTGTCAAACTAAATGTGTCATTTCATCCACAGGAAACACATTGTTCTAATTTTGATCATCTTGGGCTTTTTTTTTTTTTTTTGAGAAAGAATAAAAGGAAATTTGAAAACAAAAGACATTTTGAACTGAAATATCAATTCAAAATCATTTAATTTTGAAAATAAAATTACAAAGTATCCTCCTAATATCTGAAAACTTGACACGTTTAATACGAAATATGAGGAAAATATAAAGCATACATAAAATATTTTGTGTGTCATTGAACTTGTGTTTTCCATCAAAAATAAAAAAGGTTGGGATGAGTTTCGTTCAGTTCTTTCAGTTTTTTTATACAGCCCAATCAATGTGAGGAGTGCAACACAACACCCTAGAAGAGAACAAATTACATACTCTGAGCTTGTCCTCTTTATCCAGGATGGAAGATTTCCCCACTGCACCTTCAGCTGCACGGCTGGTTTCCTCGCCATCTGGCCCGTGGTAGCCCTGCCTTCTATCCTGTAGTCCCGGCACTCCTTGCCCCATCTCAGCCTGGCCTTTACCAAACAGGGAAACAGTCACACGCATTTCTGACTTGAAATCACAGCACAACTTAATGCCATTTGAAAATTTAAATGTTCCTGCTTTCCTGAAACTTCAGAATAATCTCTGCTGCCCCTAAGTCTTTCCCTCTAAACATCCTCATGGAGAAATTTTGACTACGTCTGGAAAAATGTGAGGCTAAGTAGAAAATGACGTTCCTGAGGCTGTGCTAAGCTACATGAAGATGTTCCTTCTCCAAAGCAGCCACTGAAACATTGTAGCTAAGCGCAAAACTGACAGAATCCCAGAAAAGCAAACTGGTATTGAAACAAATAATGAAGAAATAATAAAGCAGTCAATTTTTAAATTTTCTTCAAAATTTTACATCATATTTTGATGCAGCTTCAAAGCATACTTACTTAGAAAGTTTTTTTTTTATAATTTGAAAGGACGGGAAAGAGATATGTGCAATGTTTGAAATTTTATGAACATCTTGTGAAACATATTTTAAAATATGTATGTTTCCCTGTTTGATTATGCTAATCAGCAGGTGCTATATCATTATTCAAAAAATTCTGGGCTTTCTAGAGCTCTCACTGGCAAAGCTGACTGCGTGCTTACCTGTGCTTTCAGAGGCAGTATTACAGCATCAGCACATGCTTTCCAACTGGTTTCAGCCAGCTGAACCACAACTAGTTGCACATCAACTTTGGCAGCATCAGAACGAACATATGCTGTAGCTTGATAACCTTGATTTCTGTTGTCACTCCTTACTGCCTGTGCCACAATCGTAATGCCAGGTGGAATAACTTCTCCCAGGAAGTTGCGCTGAAAAACAACCCCCAACCATCTGTGCTTAAGTATTTCTCAGTATTCGCTTGGGAACCTACTGTCCAGTTAGGCTACAGTGATAGCAGGGAGCATTCCTCATCTTTCATCATCCTGGTTTGTTGCATATATTTCCATACCCCGAATATTTTATAATAAATCTGATTAGAATCTTAATTATTTCATTACAGTTTTCAAAGACGTGATTGTTTGGATGCAGATTTCAAGATTTTTCTGAGCTATCTCTATGCACTTTTAAAGATTTTGTTTGTTATTGTAATATTGGAAACATATATCTATGATAGATTGCAGATATCTTCAGTTCATTCACAACATAGTGACAGACTTTTCAAGACAACTAATTGTTTTGGAATCCTTCTAACTCATTGAGTCTTCTTACACATTGACTGTATTTGCAGGGCTATTTGTTCTATTATTATGTAGACCTACATTAACTTAGTACAATTAAGTGCATACCAAAGATAAGGATGATCAGTGCTTAACAGGGGTTTATATATTGCAACCAGTAATAAGCATGAAGATTCTCATTTTAGTTACACTCTACATGCTCTCATGACCTGGTCTACTGTATTTTAAAATAATTTGGAGAATTTAAGCTTAAAAAAAAAAGTTTATTTATTTCCTCACCAGTTGTATTTTCTCTTTTGAAGGTTTCTATAGGAAAAAGAAAATTCTTTCCCATTTATCTTATAACCCCACTCCCTTCAATTTTTATCCTTTCCAAATCCAAGTTTTCACGTACTGCAAATACTAAAAGAAAACTTGCTCAGGAAAACAACAAATGAAACCCTGAAGTCAAGCGAACTCACGCAAATGTCGAATTACTTTGACTTTCAATTTACAAACTCAGCATGCAAAGTACTTCCTGGGCTTAACTCGGTTAGGGTGCAACCGCCTCTGAAGTTCCAGCTCAGCAGTCAGCAAATCCTACCATTTACGAGCAGATTGCAGAGACTACCTCACGTGTTAAGCTGGAATCACTCCGGTGATCAATGCCGGTTCCTCTGCTAACGTGGCTCCTCCGAGAGCTGCTGCCAGGATTTCCTGCGTGGTGGTGGCTGCTGCTGCTGCTACTGCTGTTGCTGTGACTGCTTCCTGATGCGGAGGAAGATGATGAGCTGCCTGATACCTTCTGATCCGGATGCTGCAAACAAAAACATGCTATGAAGCTACGGCACGGCTTCTAGATCCAGGAGACATGAAAAGTGTCTGCTAATGGAAGCTGTTACTACTTTAGCTTTACAAACACAAACACACAGAGGTAAACAATACTACAGGTCAGGATTCATCATTGTAAATTATATTTTTACAGCATAGCCATCTAAACTGGAGTTATCAGTATCAATCTGAGGCTCAGCCATATTTTCAGTGTGATTCTTTTTATTCTAAATATGAAATGTATCAGGTAGGAATGTGTCTTGAAGCCACCTGTACCTCTCTGCTGATTAGGAAGGCTATGTAGAGTGACTAGAAATGGGGTTTCACCTTGCAGAGGTCTAACACAAGACAAGGTGAAACCCTCATTTACTAAGTGATCAGAAAGCACTCATTTTTAATTTAAAGTGATGCAAAAACATCGTCCTTCTCATAAGCAAGGTAAATAGCAACTTTCCAGCTAACACCTCCAAAAGCCACTATACGGACAACATTTCTCTGTACCGCAATGCATAGTCAATCTGGCTTCTGATACTACCTACCTGCACAATAAGTTTGCTTTACTGCCATGATTGTCAAAAAATGAGAAGTTAACAGGGATTATGTTTTTATATTTCCTCTATACTTCTTGTCCTAGATTTTACTGCACTGTACAGTATCTAGTCCAAAGATGTCCTGACCAAAAATTTGTGATTGCAAGTGCCACAAGACAGATGATATTTTAATAACATATCAGCTTACTTTGGGGCTCATCAGTGGTATTACTAAATAACAAATAAGGTAGATTCTATAGAATGCCTGGGGAGATGAACCTACCAAATCCCTTTAGTGACAGCCTTGGTTGTCACCTACAATGATAGGAATGCACGCTTAAATTTGGACCTACCCAATGGACGTGGCCAGATCTGAAGCGGAGCTGGTACACTTTTGGAAGGTAAGTCTGCAAAAATTCCAAAATAAGTTATAGCCAGCAGCTCAGTGAGGGTCTCCTGCTAGTAGTAGTCATAGCATTAGAAACTTTTACCCATTCTGTGGAAACGTCGTAACTACTGTGACTGTTAAATTGGGACTTGACGTGATTTGTTCCAGCTCGCCTGTCGTATCTGCTGGAGTGCTCCTGGCTGTGGCCATGGGGTACACTTTCACTGCTGCTGCTCCTGCTGCTGCCACTGCTGCTGCTCTGCATTTTAGACTTCTGCTCATGAACACTTCTCCCTCCAACAGCAGCACTGGCATGTGGAAATGAAGTGGTCTCAGGATGCTTTCTGCCTGCACCTTCCATACCAGATGCTCTGCTGCTGCTACTACTGCTTTTCCTGCTGCTACTGCTCCTACTTTTCCCACTGCTGCTGCTTTGACTGCTGCGGCTCTTGCTGCTGCTCCTACTGCTTTTGCTGCTGCTGCTGCTGCTTTGACTGCTGCTGCTCCTACTGCTTTTGCTGCTGCTGCTACTACTGCTGCTCTTGCTGCTTCTACTACTGCTCTTGCTGCTACTACTACTGCTGCTACTTCCACTACTGCTCTTACTGCTACTGCTGCTGCTGCTGCTGTCCCCAAAGGGATAGAACTTCTTTGCTTTGGCTTTAGACTGTTTTGTTTTCAGATTTATCTGGGAGCCTCCCTGTGAAGCCCTGCTGTCAGAGTCACTGCTGGAGGGGCTGCTCGTTGTACTCTCAGTGCTTCCACTGGTGCTGCTGGCACTGGATGATGAGCTTCTTGATTTTCTTGTCCCCTAGTCAAAAGTACCATTGGAAAAAGATAATTATTTTTCTATTCCCATGTAGAAAGCTGTAAGTAAAATCAGATACAGAGTGCTATGAATCTCTTTGCTGCCTCAGAGGATAGCAGCCTGTGATAGCATCCTTGCAACACATCACAATAAAACCAATTCATAATAGTGTGTCAAAAGCACAGCTAAGTAGAACCTCAAAACTATGTGTGAAAATGAACACAGGTAGAAATTATTGATAATAGAGTTATGTAACTAATGTTAGTGATGGCAGCATTGTAGCTGTCTCAAGACATGTTGTTTAGGAGGTATTATACCTTTTTGCAACAGTTGCAGTAGCTAGAAAGAACAGACAATCTTTTGGGCACACAGAATCTTTGGCCTTAAATAATTGTGCCAGAAATCTTTCTAGAAAACAGTAAAATCAACCTACTCTCCCTAATCTCCTTCACCTCACCTACCAAAAGAACCACCACCAAAAGAAATGAACTAAAAAAAACCCCAAAAAACAAAGTAAAACAAGAAAACCACCACAAAACTGTGGAAAGACTTGTGTACCTAAAAGCTTCTCTTTGTTTTACATTTTTTGTATACTAACTAAACAATGAAGGCTACTTAGTAAAAACAGTATAAATAATCATGCTTTGTGTATTGTCTCACACATATCTGGAAAGGGGATTTTTACAAAAGTACCTGGCCATCAGTATCATCAAGGATTTTCTTCACTCTTTTAACTGCTTCTTTGCTGGAAGATGCTTGTGTCTCTGGATCTTCAAATGTTACTAGCCGTACCATTTTTGTAGGAGCTTGGGCCCCTGCTTGAATTGTGACTTGTATTTTTTCAATAGGTGCCTCTGTAGAAACTGAAGTTGCAAAAAAATTAATATTAGTAAATGATCAGAAATTAACATTAGCAACAGCTATTAGTAGTAAAATAAGTCTTTCCAAATAATTTATTCAGTCTTTCACATCTGAAAATGTAAATGTTTTCTTCTGGTACCAAGTAACTAGTAAAATACTTCTTTAAGAGCTGAAGTGATTTAACAATATTAACACAACTCTATTTTTTTCAAGTCAAAAAACTGATCAGTAGATCTAAGTCACTGAATTGGATTGCTTAAACAAATAACACTGTGGGATAGCAAATCAGGCATCAGAAAAGAACTGAAACCTCATTCTTGACAAGCATTCTTGTAAAGAACAGCCCAATGGCCATTAGTGTGATACTTAGGGGACCAAGATTCAGTGGCCTGCTGTGCTTTCATTTCTTATGAAATTAGGGATTAAGACATTAAGGAGCAGATCCTGGCAAGGTTAATCCATAATTCCCTTTAAGAGCCTGAGTTTTTAAGAGTGTAGCTGCAGGACACTACATCAGATCCATTGCCCATATCCAATTGCTCTGTGCCAGCATCTTAAATCCAATGTTTCGCAATAGCGCAGATCAAGGCCGCCTCACGCTGCGCCGTACGGACACTCGTTAAGGAAGCTGAGAAATCACTGCTCAAAGGTCAGGAGAAACAAGATTCCTGCCACATGGGCAACCTGCAGTACTTGCAGGCTTGAAAGCTGTAACAGTAGTTCTGATGGTTATACAACAGATATATATACACCTATATGCACATACAAATACACGTTCATTAAATTCTATTTATGCGTGATGTATTTACCTGGTTTGAAGCTCACTCTAACTGAGTGTTCTCCAACAAGGTAATAAAGAGGCACATTTTTGATAAACGCTGCATGTATGCTTTTCCTCTCAGCGCACATTTGAACTCCAAATGTACTTGCATTGGAGCACATGGAGTGAACAAATGGTTCCTTCCGGGAAAATGAGTGTCCAATGGAGAAGGAATTTTCTCTTGAAACATCTTCTGCAGACTGTCTGTCCTATTAGGTAACACACAAGTCATGTTAGACAAAAGTAAGAGCAATTCTAGCATGCTATGACTCCTTTTTTCAGTAATAGGGTAACACATATTCTGTAAAAGGAATTAACCAAAACCTTGAGATAGGAAGATTATCATACAGAGCAACTTGTTTTTCAATACCATGAAGTTATTAGCTGAATTGCTTGATTACACTGTGTAGAGTAGAAAGAGCTTCAGGATCTGGAAAGTTGTCTCTCAAAAGTAATTCTAATTATTTCATTTTGTTTTCCCTGGGCTTTAAACTACATTAACAGAATCTAGGTAAATTTCAATGTGCTCTAGACCACTTCTAGTTCTTTAATTTATGATTGGCCAAACTACTAAATCTTTATCCAAGTCCATGCAAAATCTGTCCAAGTTGAAGTCTAACAAGAATATAAGGATATATAAAGTAAGAAGATCATAGAGATTTTCTTGATGGTCAAAATGTATTAGACATTACAAATTTCTGCTCCAAAGTATAAAATACATATATACTAAGCAATGCTCCCAGAGGAATGAATTAAAATTAATTAAAGTAAGAATCAAATCCATGAAATCAAAGCTATGATTTCCTGGAGCAATGAAGCAAATAGCTGAAGACACATAACCATAAGCTTTCATTTTATATGTTAGACAAGATTGGCAATTAAAGTTTTGCTCAGATTACTATGTCTGACAAGATTCTTAAGTTGTATGAGCCATAATAAAAAAAATGGAATTTTAATGCTACTCTATTTTTTTTTTCCTAAAGGAAATTCTAATGATCCAGAAGATGCTCAGGTTAGTGCCATTTTTTCAATTGCTGCTCATTTAAGATTACCTGCTCTATTTTAAGAATATAACACAGAGGCACAAAGTGGAAGAACTTGTCTTGTTCCAGCATATTGGAAATTTCTGTATTTGATTGAATATTTGCATATGGACCTTCTCTGTAGGAAAGTGCTATACTCATCCTCCAGTTGTCTCTCATTTTATCTGAAAACCATTTAGAGTTGCAGGACTACAATGAAACTGAAATAGGGCAGTGTATTCTTTGCCCTTGTCAATCTTGCACTGAATTAATTGTCATGTTGATGTCTTCATGATGATCCTTGGTGCTGGATTTTACTGAAAACTGCAGCTTATGAAGTCATTTGGCTTGACACATAAATTGATATCCATCCATGAATTAGGAGAGGCCAGGCCTAGAAGCATTACACTTGGTTTCACTAGTCAAGTACTGAAGCATCAGGTGAAATTATTATGCCTACCCCAGGCATGTAATGATTACTTTATGGTTACAATAGACTTTAAAGATTGTGGGCCAATCCTGCAGATGGCAGTGTAAAATTAATTACTAAAGAAATGCTCTTGCTTCTGAAAATGGTCATGCAAGTCAGATATGATTACACTCCAGATTTTAAAATAATGTTCCAATAGGGCTATTTGTGTAGTTAGATTGAACTTGACCTACTTTGAGAGACATAGCATTGGTCAGAGGTGAACCATATATTTCCCCCGTGGATAGAAAGAAGTGGTCTCCCGTTGATTAGAAGTCAAAAAAGAAACAGTCAGATGCTACATGAGTTACCCTGATGTTATCAGTCTCGCCTGATGCAGAATCTGAATCGAAGGACATCTTCATTATGTCAGGCACTGCTTCAGGTAGAAGAACTGGAGTCATCTTACTTGCAGCCAAATCTTCGACATTTCGTGTGACAGCAAATGTCTTAGACCTGAGGAATGAACATTAGAGGTAATCTGCTGAGGAAAAGACCTGAATAACATCTTGTAGCAGGTACTCAGCAACAAGCATCATACTTCAAAAAATGCTTTACAGGTATTTACACCATCTTTTCTGCTACTGATATATTCAAGTAAAGAATGAATAAAAGCTTGGACCCATCTCTGGGGCAGATAGTTCACAGTTGCACTTTCAGACGATCATGTACAGGTTAAAAGCCTGTAGCTGATGGAATCTTTGTATGCCTAACGCATTTAAGAATAGACCACTTGGAAGCCTGGCTGTGGATTAAGATACTAAAGTCTTGGTTCTCCTACTTGTGGATTTTGTTCTTTAAAATTTTTGAACCCATACCTGTGTATTTGCTGCTGAACTCACTTCCTAAAATGCTACAATTATATAATACTGGTGTAATTTCAAAAAAAGAACATTAGAGAGTGGTGGTTACTAAATGCTGTTTCCTTTGCAACTCTTGTTAAAGCATAGACAGGCTTAAGAAAGAAGCCTAGACTCATCAAAGCAAGTCTCTGGAGCTCGAGCTAACTGTACTGGTACCAACTCACAACATGGCAGCATCAGAAGGTTCAGAGCCTATTTACATAAAACCTTCAACATGCAGATTCCTATGTTGTAGGCTAAAGAGTGTTAGGATCCAGCTCTAGCAGCATAAGATGCAACATGAACCTGAAGCTTTTACAGCTGAATATCCTTAGGTCCTGAGTAGTTCAGGTTCTTTATAAAGTTGTGACAGTGCCGTGACAACTACAAATTTTGTCTTAGATCAGGGAAACATTTTGAATATTGAACACTTTTGAGAGAAGAAACCTCTTTCCTTCAGCTAATAGCATTTGCTAACTCTACTCTATTAGCCATTAGCCATCAAGTACCTTGGAGCTCAAAATTCCCCATGTATTGTTGCTGATGTATGAAGTGCCATGGGGTCACTGTAGCACGCCAATGGAGATGGCCTTTGTGACAGTGAATGGAAAGGTGGCCTTCCAAATGGTCTCTATTTTAGCAAGGTCCACACTACTAGTCTGAGAATTTCCTATCTAACCTTTTTGAAAGATGATTTTGTATTCATTTGATAGTGCTCTCTTCCTCTTGAAGGCTCCTGCCGTGCTGTGTGCACTGTAAAGCACACAATTGCACTTCATGTGGAACACCTCAAAAAAACGTGTGTCACCTGTGGGCTTTGTTTTCTTTTCCATCTCTCTCTTTTTTTAGATAAGGACATGACAGCAATGCTCCATGCTGGGTGAGAGTAGAACCTTGAAGAATGGAATCTGAAATAAAATATTCTTCCTAACAAGCTGAGTGGATAAAAGAAAATACAAATCAACTTGCATTTCAGATGGCTCATCTAGGTAAAGGGACAATGAAAGGAAATGGCTTTTTATTTTAATCCCATTCAATAATTCAAATGACCACTGAACTGCAGGCTGGGTCTCCAAGGAGAAAGCTCTGGGGATTCTTTTTTTTTTTTGTATTTTTTTTTCTTTTTTTTTATGCCAATAGTCTACTTCTGCACCTAATGAAAGTGGAGGATCGATTCCTCCCTGTTGAGCGCAGAGAGCTGACAAATGTAGCTGCATCACAGGTGACACATGTCAATGTCTGCAGAATCACACGACACAGTAAAAATAGGCTATAAGAGCCAGCTCTGGTACTTTAACAAGAAAAACAGTCACAAAGAAGGCCTAAAGCTATGGTATGAAAGAATCTGTTCTCTCTGATCCCACACAAGGGAGAAAAATAAAAGGGAGATTTTCCAATATGTATTAGTGTATTTTTTTGGATGAGAGAAGAAGCTGTGCTATAGTACAAACCAAATTCACTGCATGGGAAAGGGGTAGGCAATTCATCTCCATTGGGTCCGTTAATGTTTCAGTGAGTGTGGCCTTACACACATCTCTGACTCGGAGACACAAGAGCTCAATGTCTGTTTAAAACAAGAAAAATTAGCCCCAGACTATTTTTACCAGGTTTTAAAGCACGGCATGAAAACATATCTAAACAAATGAGAAGCAAGTGACAATCCTAGCTAGCACCAGATCCTACACTCTTGTTCCAAGCAGTGAAATGAAGGTCTTTCCTACCCAGTGTCATCCTGACCCTGGTGCAAAGATTTTATAAAAACAAAGACATGGAGGGTGATGTCGCTTCCCTCCCCATCTCCAGACTCAGCGCTCACGTGAACTCATGAACCAACTCTTTTGCATTTTCCTTTATATATGTTGCATACGCGTTGTATACAGTGCTGTAATTTTGTAATTCATATTATAAAATGCAATGTGAAGCAGTTTCTGTATTTCCTGCAGTTATAGCAAGTAAAAACAAACCCAAGAGACAAATTCTATTCAGGATTAAGCATCCACTTCAGTAGCCTGTCATTATGAATCTGCGATACATTTGCAAAGTGCATTCTCTGGCAACTCCCCATATTTATACTTTAAACAGACTCTAATTTTTCCCGAAATTTATTTGAGTTTTACTTCTTCCTGTAAATGTTGTTAAAATGTATAGTTAAGTAGCCATCTGTAGTATACCAAATAATTATGTTAAAAGAACTTTAAAAATAACTATTATTTTAAATTAAATTTAACTTTGACAGTATTGAAATGAAGCACGTTATATATTCTCTACATAGCATGATTAATTATTTTGCTCTGATTTTTCTCTAAAGAGAGTTGAGTCTTTAATATTGTGCTTTGTCTCCTGGAAATTTGGCTCTTGGAAATTCATATAAATCCCACAGTTGTGACAGGTTATAACCTGTGTGGTATATATGATATAACTGGGCTAAATGCTATTGAAAACTGTTTACTTCCCTGGTCTAGCTGTAAGAGATGACGAGGGAAGTAATAATATACCCTAACGGGCTTTAATACCACAACCCAATAGCAGACAAGTCACTGACCATCAGGTAAAGTGCTTATATTAAAATATTTCAAACACTGCGCAAGAACAACTGAAAGAGCAATAGCTTTCTAGAACCATTTCCTTTAATGGAAAATTTAAAGCTCACAAGGGATAGTGTCAGAATATCTCTAAAAATATCAAATTGCCCCCCCCCCCCCCTTTTTTTTTGGAGGAGTTATGCAAAAGGAAGAGAAGGGCTCTTTCAGATTAAGCTTTTGGAATTGTTTTTATATAGAATATACACACATTCTTTCTCTCTATATGATGATGCCTAATTGTTTCTCCTCGTACTTTTCATATTTTACCCTGCTTGACCTCCTCAGAGATATATTTCGACATTACATTCTCCAGTTACTGCTTAACTTTCACTGTACTCATTGCTGTTTCATTTTTCTGTGTGATTTCCACTGGTCATTTGTTTTGTAACAGTGAACTGGAATGGTTTTTTTTGGGGGAAAAAAAAAAAAGGATGGTGCTAAAAGTTAGCTAGTGAGTATTAGCTTCCTTATATGCTTGCCATTATAGAGCTATTTCCAGCTGAACACTTCATAAACGATAATGCTGCAGGGTCTAGAGCAGGGCTTGGGCTGGAACGTATAAGCTTCTCTGCTATAATGTCCTCCTTCCAATACGAATTTGGTCCATGCTTTGTGGCCTGTTTTTTAACCCTTTTCTGTCTGATTTGATCCCCCTCCCCGCCCCAAGTCAACAAGAGCTAGTGAGAGCAGCAGGCTGCTATCCCAGATGACCTTGGGAAGGTGCTGGTGCTGTCATGGTTTTCACAAAAGACCAAACAAACAGCTTTGGGTTGTAGTGCCCAAGAAGCTCTCACACACCTAACCATTGCTCTGTGAATTGTGGAGGCACTCATTACACTCATGTAATCAGAAGAACTTAATTACAACCACATTTGACAGAGTGGAGGAATCATCTCTAGGAGGAGGTTGTGGTGCCAAATGCTTAAGATGATGGTCTGTGATCACTGAGAAGGAAGGAAGAATTAGCCTCTATGGTGGCTAAACTGAGGGACCTGCAGAGCTCCCCTGGGCTAGCAGCCATGAATGCTAATTGCAGTTGAATCAAGCAACTAAGCTCTTTTGTTACAGCCATATTTCTAGAGTGGAATCTTGTTAACATTTCTGGGGATTGTGTAACAGCTGATTTCTTTTGTCAGTAAAGCTTTTTTCCTTTGTAATGAATTTTCAGCTTGTCTTTCTCAGCGTCTTTTTCGTGTATGTGTGTGAAGGTTTTCTAAGCTTTAGTCTAATGCTTTGATTCCTAGGACATACTCTTTCTGTTTTCTCCCTCTCTCTGTGTTTGTATTTCCATCTGTTTTCATTTGTTTGGCATCTGGCTACAACAGTCTTCCAGTAACTGCATGAACTGATAATAAATCAAGCAGACTAAGAGGCAAGAAAACCAGATGCCAGCTGCAGGGAAACCAGATAAAAACATAAGAAACACCAAGTCCTCTACACTTTAAGGCATCAAGCACAAACATATATATGGGTTGTCTTTTCTAACTAGTAAGATTCACGTGACATATCTTACCCAGGGTCTTCAGTACAAACTCAGCACAAATCCACGCATTGGGATAGAAGTTTTATGTCACGTGTGCTTTAAATAGCTTGGGACTCTCAAGGACTTCAAGTTTCAAGTGAAGGCCACAGGAGACAGCATTATTTCCATGCAAAGGTTCATGTCATTCTGTTCAAATTAAATAAACTGCACTGGCAATTACCCAAACTGTCAGTTGAAGGCACAATCCTTAAGCAAAAGATTCATCTTATTTGGAAAGATTCAGTACTGCTACATGGAAAGATAATAAATGTTGTAGCCTACCTTAAAGTAATAATGTTAGTTTCTTCTTTACATGCTGGAATTTCAACTTTGAAGCTTTTTTCCTTCATATTGACAGTGGCAACAACACTCACAGGGACGTGAACATTCACTTTGGTACGCGCTTCCAGTCCTGCCTGGATCATTTGTGTATTGATCCCCATTACAACAGTCATGTCCTTAGCCATGCTGAAAAGTTAGAATGCGATGGTAAAATTATGTACATACAGTAAATCTCTGTTGAATTTTTATGACAGGCCTCTGTCACTTGGAAATATGGATTCTCTTATTCTAGGCTAAATATTTACCTTAGACTCACTTTGGATCGCAGCCTAATGTTGGCATTTAGTAAGTCACTCAGTCTGAAATCTGACCTTGGAGAAGGTGTAATCTGTGCTTGAACTATTATAAAGAAAGTAAACAAAATGTTTATATATAAGTTATATATAAAAATAATGTGAAAATATGAAATATGTATAATATGAAAATAGGAATATTTCATTTTAATATAGATATATATAAAATAAAACCCACATTTGTATTGCTAAAGTCTTGAAATACATTACCATTTCCTGCTGCTTTTGTGACAGAGGCATGATAGAAGCTTGTCTCCAGTGGGAATCCAGAGCAGGTAGGCACAATATGGCGCATCTCAGAGCACAGTAAAGTCTTGGTCCACTGCCTCCCTACACCATTTTGAAGGCTATTGATTAATCTCCTTACTGAAGGGATTTTTTCATCAGGTCCATACCATGCCTGAAATTGCAGAGTTCAACTTGTCTAAATAAGCAGAACTTGAATATCACAACCTGTGGCATTAACTGTTCCTCAGAAGAATTTCTGCTATCAATGATTATAGCTAATCCTGATCAAAGTTTGAACTTATTTGCCTCGATTAATACTAGGGACAAAAAAAATCTTGAATTAAAAAGTTAAAAAAAGCAAGGGAAGGTGTGTGGCATTTTTAAATTTTTAAAAGCTTTTGATGCTTATCCAGTGATGTTATTGAAGTAATACCTGCAGTGCACTTTGCATGGTGTTTTTGTCAAGTCCGCCAAAGTATAACTCTTGGCCATACATCTTCAGGTAGCCTGACAGAAAAGGTTTGTCACTAGAGAAGGCCTTCCAGTCTGAAAGCTGCACGAGAAGAAGGAAGTTTGATTCTTCATAATATTTGGGATATGGTAACCTTAGAGATTCTCTTTTTCTTGTGAATTTACCCTTTTTAGGATTTCCTTGAAATCATAGTCAGTCTCCCAGTCTTGGTCAAGGGAGTAACCTTTAGCAAACATCTCCTGCAGCCCTTCAGCTCTTATTCCCACCTGTGGGAAGTAAAAAGTGTAAATACCAACTGGATGATGTTCAAAAGCAGAGGTTAGATGGCGACCTGCAGGAAGACTCAATTACCTCCAAAGGATCAGCAACTCTTCCAAAGAAATGTGTCCGCAGCTGGGACACTGCCATTGCTGGAATTGTGCTGCCTGCATTATTCAATACCAAATATTTAGCTGCCAGGCCAGTCATAAGAAAATCTACAGAAAAATAGGCAATAACACACAGCACAGTTAGTTATTAAAGCCACAGTTTGCAAATTGTAACATTAGACAACTGATACAGCATGACATGAGAAAGGCAAGAAAATCCATCTATAAAGTTGATGTTATAAAACAGTCATAAACACAATATTCTGTGTATTTGAACTATTAATGGACAGAATTACAAGTCTCTTGCTCATTGCATAGCAGTTATGCTATTTTTTCCAATTGTTTCTGGTAAATCATTTACATTCAGTCAGATTTTGTAATACCATTTTATGAAATGCTTTTATGAGACATCATTCAAGGTAACTTGACAAAGGAGATCAGAAATGAAGACAGATTTGCCATCCTTTGCTAACAGTTCAGAGAAAGTGATATAGATGTCCTATAAGGACAGATGGTGAGGTGTAGATTTGTCTCCAAAATGACTAAAGGGCACGGTAATGTATCTAGTTACCAATGCTGTAATGTTAACGATTTCTTTACATGAAATGTTCCAACTGTTAAATAAATGTTAACTATCATGTAAACTCTGAACAAACGTAATTGGTGTGCATTTTCTCTACTTTAGATTTATCATCTACAATGTTCTTAAATAAAGACAGTCATTGCAAAGCATAGTCATATATTCTCCCTGATCTTGGTGCAGTTCAATATAGCACAGCTTTCTGAGTTAAAGTAATCCCTAGGCTTCCCTAAATTTCCTTAGATTTCAAACCCAACAGAATATGTAGGCATCGCTGTCATGCTTCCTTTCTTCCAACTCTCCTCCCTCTTCTCTTTCAACACTAGCTGGAGGACAGGGAAGTGTTATAGGTGTCCCTGTGTTAAATGTCTGCTATCCTCACGTTAGACACAGTTCTACACAGTTTCAGTTACAGTGTGTAGAGCATAAAGCACTATTCATGGTAGCCAAGTGTAACAGATTCCAGATTAGAGATACTTTCAGCTGACATTAACGGTTATCATTAAAAATTCATTATCTAGCACCACAAAGATCTGATGCTGAGGGCACATTTTTGTTTGTAGCATGAGAAGAGGTATTGCATTACTGCAGTCACTATGGTAACTCCTATAGAATGGGCTCATGGAAATATATTTCACCTGTGACTAGTGGTGACAAATCAAATCAGAAAGGTGGTGGATGGATCCTCCTCCACACTGGTGTAATATAGGACTTAGCCAGCTGAATTATCTAAATATAACATCATCATGTTTGAGAAAAGAATGTCGTTCCTTAGTCTTCAGGAACAGGAGATCTAAACATCACATCCGCATACCAACCAAATTCCTGACCCTTATCTTCACCAAGAAAGTAGTCGCAATTCACTGAGATGCTACATTCTCAGGCTAGAGGGAGAACAAAATAATTCCTTCCACACAGCCCTTTGCCAGCTACTGTGATGCGTACAGAACCCTTCTGTCTCACTGTGTGAACACTAAGACAGCTTCATTTTAAAAGCAAGAATAAGAAGACAAAATGAGTACCTAAGACTAGAAACATGTACCTGCTTATTACTGGAAAGTTTCCCTCTCCCTGAATGCATTTTAAATGGTACAAAAGTTCACACAGCACGTATTAGTGACTGTATTTCCTCAGGCACTCTCTGCCTCCATCTCTGAGGTAGCAAGCGTGTGTAATACATACAGCTGTGGTCACTATGTGGTATATATTATACTTATTTCTATTAAACAGCAGATTACGTGGTCTTGTAAAATCTATGAAACAGGGGAAGGGCAACAATAACATCTACAACACCATTCCAAATCAACTCCCCCTTCAAAAAAAAGGCAAAAGTACTTGCACACTTAGCACTGCGGGTTTCAGAGTCTCTTTTCCTATTGATTACTTTGAAAAGAATCTTTACGTGTACTGATAAATAACAAAAGTGCTAAAAACTTTCAAGAGTGCTTTTAGAAAAAGAGCATGTGTAAGGAGACTATAGATATATTCTTCCTAGTCTGCCAGCTACATATGCCAAATAACTGAGACTGCTATGGTCATTTACATAGGGGAGTTGTTTAAAAAACAACAATCTCTGCTGAGAAAATAATATAATGGAAAATGCAAATAGCTACAGTTTGGCCCAGCAACAGCCAGTCTCCTAAGCTCATCCTCTCCCTTCTAACTACTAATGTTCTTGATTTTTATATTTAGCTTCCACTGATATCACTGGTCTGCTTCCAGATCCTGCATATGGATCTGCTCAGTTTAATAAATAATTCTTTACTAGGAAAGAATTCTTTGGTAGGAAAGAGCAAGGAAAATCTGTAGCAATAAGAGATGGATGCTCATGGCTGCAATGAATTGTCACATCTCAACACATTCAGTGGTTGCTGCGTTACTGGCCACTCTTGAGGGTGAAGAGCATTTAGCACCACATTTGAATTCAGCAAGAGTTGTAGATGTTCACACCGTAGAAATTAATCCACTTCAGCAGTAATTTAGGTCCCTTCTGTTTGTTTGGTGCTGAACAATGGTATGAAATTTGTTAAGCACCGCTGAGACTACGGCATTTTATACAAGAGCATGTGCCTCACTGGCTAATGAAAGTGGAGGATTAGAGCCCCACAAGCCCTCTGGTAATTTCATGCTGGCAGTGTACAATGCAACACACATTCTCAAAATGGAGAGGCTGAGGTTTTGTTTCTCTGAACACAGGAAAACATGGAGGAGTAATATGCAACTATCAAGTAGAACTGGAATCATATACTGTATGCTTCCCCCTGCTACATACTCCCATGTATTTATTTCTCTACAAAATCTTCAGGTTCTGAGCATTAGAGAGAGGAAGTTGAACCTTACCTTTGAACATACTGAAGCGGAAAACCTTGCTGAACTGATATCCAGATCTGTCAAATTTGGGGCTTAGTACTCTAATAGCCATCCTGCAGGCAGAAGCCCTGAAAAGATTCAGCAAGCGCATTAACACCCCAGTAAGTTTATAACAGGTTCGTTTAGAGAAGGAACACAGATTTTTCTTACATTTCTTGAACATCTGGGGCTGTGCTTCTCCCGAGAGCCCTCAGATAAGAATAGATGAAACTTGCCACTTGCATGCTAGGTTCCTTCAGCACAGCATCAGCTATCATCATCAATATAGGAAGACCTGGTTTGGTTTCAAGCAAAACTAAGGCAGCTAACATTCGCAGCCGAGGATGCATTTTGTGATTCAGGAAAATTTCAAGAGTAATAACCTGTACCTGAAAATAAAAGACACGTTTAAATTTACCATATGTTTAAACAGTTTGCCAATAGCTTTTTATTATCAGTAATGATCTCTTCATCACTAGTAGAGTACAAATCTGTATTAATTTAATTTTTAGGGCAACAAAGTTTCTGGTTTCATAGTTTGAAGGCTGGAAAGGGCATTAGGGTAACGTATTTTGACTTCCTATACAATCAAAGCTAAAGAACTTCTTTGGATAACTCCTACATCAAACTTATTACACCTTTCTGAGCTAGAGAAAAATATATCTGCAGCATAATCACTCTAGGAACACAGACTTCAAGAACTCACCACCTCTCAGCCCCTGAAAAATAGTTTCATCGCTTGCCCCTAGCCATAATGGTAGGCCTTATTTCTAATCATTTGATTTCCTCAAGCCTTTTATGCTATGTTGAAAGTCAAGCTACTACCAGAAGTCTCTATGCCCTGTAGGCAATTTAAAACTGTGAATTAATGCAACAAATACAAGACCACATTACTACTTGTGGCTCATGTGTTTGATCTTTACAGTATTTATTATCAGACCAGACTAATTTCATACTGGAACATCTCCAGTTCCCATGAGCTTCACTCAAAGCTTTGACCCCAACCTCAGGCCAGCCTTGGACTGTCTGGTACCTTCTGGCCCCCACCTGCACAGTGCACGTCCATGCTCTCTGAGGAAAGCTTTCAACATGCTTTGGAAACAGCAGTCACAAGGATACAGTAGCCTCATTTTAATACGACTACCTTGGCATGTAAGGCAATAAAAGTGTTAGACCACACGGTAAGACTGTTTAATGCAACGTGGGTGTGTGGCTAGCCACAAACCAGGGACTAAACTAGTTTGGGGACAATGAAAGATAGAGCCACACTCCTTAACAAGCTCCAGATCAATTGTCTCCAGAGCAAATGCACAGAAAATGGATGCTAAACAGTGGTCTGGGTCATATGTGGGAAGCTGAGCCAAAGGGTACTCACAGACATAGCATCTTTTTTAAAATACCAAATCAACTTCTTTCTTTCCCAGAAAAGACCCCAATTCCTACCTTCACTAGTCTCCTCCACCTTACCATGTCCACACTTAGCTTCTACACTTTAGCATACTGCTTCTTTATCCCTTTGCTTAAAGGAAATTCCTGTCACGCAATAAAGAAGGGTGAGATGTGGAGGCTTGTTCAAAGACAATAGTACCTTGTTAGCAGATAGTTAACCACAAGGGTGTCAGTCTTTGCAGCAGATGGGGGACAGAGCCGAGAAAGACGAGGACTGAGGAACACCTCCCCCTGCCTCGTGTGCGACGTGTCTTGCCAGAAGAAAAGAAACAAAGCCAGACAACCGCGCAGGTGGCCAGATGCTGATTGGTTGTGAGCTTTGCAACACTTGTGTTAAGAAAGTATAAAAAGAAGTTGGTTTGGAAATAAAGTTGTCTCACTCTGCACCCCAGACTGAGTCCGTTTCTTCACAAGGTGCAACAGATCAATACATGCACTCAAACTGGGAGTTATATGCAAAAAATGAATATAATGGAAAACTGATACAGATTAATAGGAGAATGGCTAAATAAAGCCTTTTATTTTCCTTTTTATGTTAAGAATGGCCTTACATAAAATAAAAAATTTCAATACCAGGAAAAGAAATCTTGAAAATGCAAGGCTTCCTATTAGATGCAGACTTTTTTCAGGTGAAAATGATAGCAGAGTGATGGCTGTGGTGGATGAGATTATGCCTGTGTAACCATTGTATGTGATATCTAATCATTATCTTGTTCAGGGACAAAAGTCACATTTAGTAAATGCTCTGTTTATGACTTAAACCCACAATGTCTCTAAATTTGTAATTAGGATGCAAACCTCTAGTATCTATTTACAATAAGATCTGGTCTTGAATTACAATTAGATGTGACACTCAGTATTAAATGTCAATTCTCAGAAAATCTTGTTTTGTGGTTCTCTCACATACCGAAATTGAAATAGCACTAAACACATGTTGGTCAATAACTTAGCTTTTGGTCCTTGGAAAATAAAATGTTTGCAATAGAAATGCTCCTTTGTCTTCAACAAAAGAGTAACGAGTGTACCCTTTTAATGGCATTTTTTGCTGCATTTTGAAATAGAGGTTAATGTCAAAAGGTATAAGAAACGACCACTTAGGATTGGCTAGTTATTTTACATATTACAACTCCATTTGAAAAACTGGTATTCCTGGTCCCTGCCTCCATCATCTATTAGGAGTAACATGTACAGTTATCGTAAGTGCAAGGCAGACAGCTTTACTTCCTTACCATTTTTGGGTCTTTCAAGCCTATGTTTTTCAGAGCCATCACAGCAGTTGCATGAACCCTAAGGGGCAGATCCGAGGCACCAGATGCATATCCCGGCAAAAATTTTTTGATGTGCTTGATGCTGGCTGGATGTCCCACATTTGCAAGGGCTTTCAAGGCCAGGGAGATCTCTTCTGTGTTAGACTTGCTCAGTGCCTCTCCTGCAAAGCCGTGAAGTAGCTAAAACCAAAGCAAAACAGATTTTCTGTTCAGTTATAGCTCTTATCTATATCCTGTTCCCTCACCTGTGTTTGAGGTTTGACTTTTCTTTTATAGTTTCAGTTTGTTCAATTCACTTATTGTAAATATTTTGAAAATTCTTTTTGTTCTTATGAATAGGACATTTTATTCAAAGAATGAATATAGTCAAGAAAGCAGCAATGAACAGCTTCTTCATCCCTATGCCTTGAAGTTATTGACTAGAATTTTTAAAGACAAAAATAATGGTTAGGGACTAGTCCAACTGCCTTTCAGTGTAGGTTAGGAAGCTGGTAATAATACTTTGTGGATATCTCTCCCTGCTGTTTAAAGACAGGTGCAAAAATGCAGACCCTTAGTTCTTCATACCCTTAAATAAGATTACATTCCTGAAGGCAGAGATAGTGGTAGTGCCCTTCGCCTCCAGCTGTGACAGCAACTTTTTAGTGAAGATTAATAACTGGGAATGAGATCACCAGGTCTTCTTTGTAAGCAACTGGATCACATCTTACATATGTGGCAAGATTAGAAGATGTCTGAAGGCTGTGAATGTAAGAACTAAATTCTAATAGAAAACTGCTTTTGATGCTAAACAACGGCTTTAAAGAAGAAACTCCAAAATGTCACAGAATAATTTCCATGCTGTTCCTATGCTTTATAATATCACATTAGAGATCCAGTGATGCTGCAGAAACAAAAATTTGGTATTACTAATCAAATTGGAAATTTGAAACCCTTTGAATAACCTGTACAATCATTTGCTTTGGTCATTTTTTTTCCTATTTCCTTATGTTGGGCTTCCTATATTTAATTAGCTCAAGATTGTTGGTGGCAACTGTAACACAGGAGATGCACTCAGGAACTGCAGAAAGCTGTTTGAGCCTTTTGTGGCACACAATAGGAGGAAAAAAAAAAAAAAAAAGCCACAGCAGGCACACAATGTACTGAGAAGTTCCTGCTCTTACTGGAAGTAAGGGTTTTCTTTTTGTCTCTGCTGCTGGCCAGGTGGATGATCTCCATAAAAATCTGCATGCATATCAGGAACAGAGAAATACTACTATTAAACTATTTTGAGGTGTACTGAGATTTAAGAACTATGCAGAACAGGTGTGTATTAGTACTATTATTATTTAAAGCTTGTACTGGACATGGATGATGGGCGCCCAGCTCATCTCTGGATGAGAAACTGATGAGCTACACAACTTCAGGCAAAAAGTGTGCTTTTGTGTCACTTAGGTTACATATCTGTTAAGTGCCTGTGTTTAGAAGTGTTTTAGAGCAGTGCCGTGGGACTTCATTAATAATTGGCAAAAAAGCACACAGAAGTACTCAGAAAGTGCTGTGAATTACATGCTTCTTCCTTTCATTCTCTCTTCTGTGCTAATCTAAAGATAAAAATGCTGCTTTTAACCAACTGAGGTTCCTTTCCTCAACGGATAAGTGAAATGCAGATCTCTGAATAGTGAAGACAGAATTCTAGGCTTAACTTTTCTTTTAAAAAATAAATAAAAATCAGGTTACCTGGAGACATTCAGAGCAGGAATCCAATGAAGAACACTGTTTATGGCACAATGATGCATAGCTAAGATGGCAAACCTTTCCAAGTACAGTACTTGAGCGTGGGCAATGTTTTCTCACGATGAGCTAGGGAGAAAGTAGTTTATTAGCACAACCAGTGAAGAAGAAACAATTTAAAAAATACATTGCTGCCAAATGCAAGGCAAGAGCCAGCTTTCAATACTTTTATATTGATCGATTTATAGTTAATTGGTTGGTATTACTGTATTTGACAATGCAATCATAATGCAATTCTAAGGAACATCTGGTAGACAGATCTGTAGCTTTAACAGTCTTCTAGATTTTGATTTTGTAGGGGCTATAATCCAAAGGGACAAAATCACCCAGTTACAGAATGGAGAAGCGCTCTCATTATTCAGAAAGCACTTGTTTTGTAATTGCCTGAGCTACAGGCATTAAAAAAAAAAAAAAAGTCATGCATTCTGAGTGGACTTCAGCATGGGTAGACAGGAGCGTGAGAGCTGACAGGAGGTAGCAACCCACCACTTCCTTAAGTGGGAAGCACAGCATTACAGCATAGTAACAGCTGAGCTGCGACAGCTTTCATAGAGGGGGCAAAGAAGGTTCCTGTGTCAGAGGACAGAATTTGAACCTGTAGAAGAGCTATAAAATTGTAAAAAGTCACTATATTTTCTCCCACATGGGCTTAATTCCATTGATTTCATTAGATCTGCTCAGATTTATTCCCACTCTGCTAGGTCAACCAAAACCAATATAACAAACATGTATTTCTTACTCCCTAGTCTTTGCAGAGATTCTCAGTTAGAGATCTGATCTGCTGGAACTACAAAGTACACTTGGACAAAGAAAAGCTAGAAATCACTTTTTGTAGCAATAACCTCCGACACTGAGGGGTATTTTACTCTTTCTTTTCTGTTTTATGCTGGACTCATTTATACCCCTTTGGCTTGCGTTCTCTTCCCTTAAGACAGTCAGGAAATAAACTCCTTTTAACCTCGCTAGAGGATAAAAAAAAACCTTTGTATTTTCAAAGCCTTTGCCATCTTGTCAAAGGAATAAATATGACATTCTAAAATTAATAAAGAGCAATTAGATAGTGTTTAAAGAATCCTACTGTGGCTTCCTCCATCACATCACGAGTTGGCACGCTTGAGTGCAGACCGACAAGCAATGTCTGAGCTGCCTCCCAGTTAGTGAGTTCTTGCCTTTCCATTTTATGCCTTAAGAACCTGAGGGCATGATGCGTGGCAACTGAAGGAATTATATCCAAAAGGTAGCGCCTGTAATGGCAAAGGCAGCGGTCATTTTTTGGATCTGAATTGGAACACAGTAATGTCAGATTGCCTCCAACAGATTTGTTCAAAAGAAGAACCATCACTACTTTTGCTACCTGAATGCCGGCCGATTTGAGTACTGTTTCCATACTGACTCGTAATTCTCCTCGCTTGCTGCACGGAAAAGCTGCAAAAGTTTGAGGGCTTTTGCAGGCGCATCACTGGAAACCTGTTCATGTGTGTTTTCTACTAGATCTTGCAGGCCTTCTGCTATCTGCAGGAAGATCAAAATACAGAATGTTCACACATGCTTTTTTTTTCCCCCACATACACTGATTCTGGCTTTCAACAAAGCCAGAATCTGTTTGGTGGCTAAAGCTTACCTGGCTTTCCACATTTTTAATTTTGAATAAGTGGACAGGAAGCTGAAGCGATTCGCTGCCAAACTGGTACTGGAGTGATCCACGTTTCCAAAATTCCTTTGGTGGGTTCTCAGCCATCTGCTTTTGCACATCAGTCAATACAAGCTTCTGCCTGGAATAGAGGAACCGAGGGGTTAACATCACAAGATACAGGGTAAAAAAAATAGAGAGAGGAGAATAGTATTTCTGCCTCTCCTCATTTCAATGTAACTTGTTTAAAAAGAGGGCAAAGGTATTTACAAATAAATATATTAGGACACAGTGCTCAGAGCTGTACTGCGGGAAGGTGTGTGCAGTGCTTAATATGAGAGTTAGCCATTCCCTTCTTTTGGGATTAAGATGGTTTGAGAGATTAAGGAAGAGGTGGGAGGTGAGAAGCTGTGGTTTAAATAAAACCACAGGAGTTGTGCATTGTGTTTTAGGGAGTAAATTAAGGATTACAGAAAAATAGCTGATGAGAAACTTTTTCAGAAATTATCACTTAATTTCAACCTTTTAAAAAGTACATAAAAGTCCTTGAATGTCTATGCTTCCTAGAAGCTTCAAAAGAAATTGAAAATTGTTACATACCATAAGAACAATTACAGTTTTCTTACTTGAACTATAGGAATTCCCTTCCCCTTTTTGCCCAGCAAACTGAATGTCCTGGGGACTACAGAAAGTAAAAGGTTCTCATGAAGCTTCAAATTGGATTTCCCAAACAAAGAGGGCCAGATAAACTCAAAGATTAGGCTTTGGAGAAGCACTCAAGTTCTTGGAAACTTTTCATATATTACCAAACTTTCAGCTTTTTTTTTTTATTAAGAATAATTCCAATGAGACTGTCTTTGTAAACACTTCCTACGTGTTCTACCTTTTCATTTAAAGATGCATCCTATCCTGCCAATTATGTTTAAAATCGGTCATTTAGGACACTACAATAAAGTCAGGCATTTTCATCGAACACCTGAAAACATTCCAAAAGCAATATCATTGTACTACACAGTATCTCAGAATACTGTAGAAAACTGGCATGTTTATTTTGGAATCTCTATGATGATCTTTTATATCATTTCTATCCACTCTTTCTATATGGATTTCACAGAACTCCTGCAGAAAATAATATAGCATTGCTTTGCAGAGAAGCCACTGGAATTTGAATAGAAATCACTATAGAATCAAGCAAGGTTTTTTTCTCTCTTCAAATTTTATACAATATTATTGGAAGGGCATTTGGGTCAGAAGATATAATGCTAGGTGCACTTAAACAGATTTAGCTCCCCTTTTCAAAACAAGATGACTCTACTATGCCTTCATCTCCAGTTTTTTGAGAAAAGGAGATATATTGGCCTAGAATATATGGAAAAATGTTATATTCCATGCAGAAGAGCAAATGAATACTAAAGACAGCATTAAAATGGTGAAACAACAGCAAAACATCTCCTGACTTCATAAGGTGCAGACAGAGGCTTATGCTGAACAGGACTGAAAATTCAGTTCCAAATATCCTTGATGTTGTTTCAATTTACAACAAAAGTGCAACAGAAAAATAACTTCAGAACAGTTGGGTGACAGATTTGTATCTTCCCAACTATCATATATTTGGCCCTTTCTGCTGGACAGTGCAAGAGACCCAGAGAAAATAAGGAAGAATGAAAGCACTACCCTTTCTGTGGAGGTCAATTCCTGAGTTAGAAGTCCATGCAGGCTTGCAGAAAGAAACTTTAAATGAGCAAAGTTTCATTGATTCTGGACCAATGCTCTCTCATACCAGCCTATAATTTGATAAAGGTACTACAGTTGTATCTATATTCACCTTGATTGCATGAAACAGTGAAGTTCTTTCACAATTTTTTTGCTTATCATATTAATTAAGTTAATCAAGAATTTACTGACATGAATTTTCTGACGTTTCATTTTCCAAAACTGTATATACCGCAAACCAAGAGGTTTTTTACAGATGTTAGAAAGAAAGAAAGAAAGAAAGAAAGGCAAAAAAAATAAATAAGACTGATGTGGATAAAGAAAGCTTTCAAACTCTGGAAGTTTAGAGACGAGATAAAAATAAGCAGGGAATTCACTTCTTGGACAATCATGTTCTTGTTTTGCCTAAGACTTCTTTAAGAAATATGCAAAATTTTCTGTGGGAAAGCAAATAAATTTTACATGTCCTGTGCCCAATCTTTTTGCAATAAAACCCAATTTCCTATCAAGAAACAGTTTTGATAGAATATTTGCAAGCAGCCCACAATACTTAGGAAGTATGTTGGAATCCAAAGTCATATCTAGGTTTCTTGTGAACTATTCTCCAAGGGTTTCTTACTGCATTATTATTTTCCAGGGAAATCTCTTTCAGTGAGTAACTGTCTTTCAAAGTATTTTACTGCAAATATATTAGTTCACAATTTTTCAGATGGAATTACATTTGTTTTGGCTTTTATGACATAAATCAAATATCCCTGAGAAATAAAACAGTCAAACCCTGCCAAGTTCAGCTAACAAAATTTGGATAGTGATGCGCATGTTTCAGATTTACAACTAACAATGAAGGTTGTTTTTATGAACTGTTTGGGGTTTTATGTAATTAAATATTGGCAAAAAATGGGCCGTGGAAATAAAGGATTTATTTCAGTTATGGAGTTTGACCAGATTACTGAGATGCTGAGTTGCTGAATTAAAGACACATGTACAATACCTTGCTTCTACGACAGCATTTCCTCCCGTTATCTCATTGAAGGGTGCAAACTGGTGGATTTCCTCGACATCAGCTTGTGTAATTACAGCTTCGTTACGTGCATATTTAATTTTGTAATTGTAAGTAGCAGTTGCCCGGTAATTCTTGTTTCTCTTTATAATGAAAAAGCGTCAAAGAAAAAAAAGGGGAAGTCATTTAATTTTAAAATTTTGTGACTAGAAACTATTATATCACCCACTTGAACCTGCTTTTTCTTCAGGGCTGTCTTCTTCACTGTTCGCAGTTTATGTGAATTCTGCAGGTACACCTCCATGCGAGCGGCCAGGCTTTTACTGCTAAGAAGTGTTAGCCTTCCCCAAATATAAGTCATTGGTTATTCCCTGAGCAGCAGTGAGAGCCACACAATTTCTTATTTTAAAGACAGGAAGCTGAGGTAAACATGGTTTATGCCTATGCATTGCATTGTAATATGACACAGAAATATCTGTCTTGAATACCAGAAACTAGACATCATGGCTAGCTCTTTACTCTACTGAGGAGATGAATTAAGTTATGATGATAATCAATGCTTTTCAACCTAGCTGGTTTAAGCCAGTTGAGGAATCTCTGCAGTATGTGACAGTTCATTGCTGCTCCCCAGACAGGATCTTCATGTAGAAAGAAACTGTAGATAACCAGATGCAACAGCTATAGCTCTACTTAAAACATGTAACATATATATTTATCTTTTATATATAGAAATACAAATAAATGAATAAAATTCATAAATATAATCCTTCTAATTTACCTGCTGACAGGTCGGACAAGGATGAGTGTATGCTGAACCAGTGACCATTTGAACTTTTTCTTCACAGCTGTTCAAGTCCTTGGATTTGGTCACATACACTATGTTTGCTCTCTTGTTTTCCTGAACTGTGTAGGTAGTATTACAAATTCCTCCAATGCTAGCCTGGCAAAAATTAGATGGGATCAGAGAACGTTTACCCCTAAACAGAATGTTTTCCCCTAAGCAGAATGCCTTGAGTTCCCCATATAAACTGTCCTGTTTCAACTGCCTAGCTTGAAAACTCGTTAGAGGTGTATACTTTTTTAACCATAGTACTCTCCAGAAGCCAAACCAGGATGACTTTCTTCTCTTTCCTACATGCACAGGTGATTGTACACTAAGTCAAATCAGAGTTTCACTGAGAGAGCTAGAATGTTCAATAGCTTCACTGCAACAAGAATTGGAGCCTCAGAAAAGATGGATAGTAATTTCCAGATAGAACCGTGAATTATACAATATGATTTGAAGAATATTAATAAAAAAAATGCCAAAACAATGTGATCAGTCAGAATAAAAAACTCAACAGCAAAGTATTTTAAGGTTGGAAACGACATTCTGCCCCTAAAATTTGCTTTTATAGACAGCTTATAAATGCCTATAGAACAGGTCTTGGAATATCAGGCAATCCATCACAATGCCAACAGCAATAATTAAAAAGAATTTCAGAATAGCAGAGTTCTGATTGCAGGTTTTCTCGAGTTTGCAGTTTAACTGAGATCTTCAATAATATTTCAAGCATATATATTCATAAGAAGTCTTAAATCAACTCAGACAGGAGATTTTGGAAAGCAAAATATCCGATTGCATTTTAGAAGGAAGGGTTATTTTCATGATTTTTTTTTTATTGTTATTGATAATGTAGCTGTTCCAGAGAGGAGCTCTGGGCTATGTCAGCTAAGTCAAATGGTGATGTGATAGTTTGCAAGGGAAGATATACCTGCTTTAACAGTACTCCTGGGGCACTGGGGCATCACTAAGGGTCAGAAGCATGACCACATGTCCAAAGACTTGCACTCTGCAAGCACAGCTATGGGGGCTGCTCTGCAGACTGAGCTAGAGCCATTTAAACTTTAAATGGGAATGCCCAGCCTGCAGGTCTTAGAAGGATGAAGTAGCCTTTTGCTATAGCTGGACTTCTAGAAAGTGCTATTTAGGTTATGGCTCGCTCAGGTATCTTACCCTACCCTCTGCAAAGCTGCGAAGCAGACTGTCCCAGCTTAGTCACTTAAACCTATCTGCCATTTAGACTCCCCTTCTGCATTTTGGGACTTATAATGGTTGTCATCTTTTATAGAGTGACTTAAGACTGTCAGGCAAGGGTGCCAATGCTCATAAAACCATCTGATAAAAGCAAAGAAAACTTGGAAAAGATTTTAGGAGGTGAAGTCACAAATATTGCTAAGCAATAAGAGCAGGAGATATTGCTAACTGAATTAGAAAGAATGAAGACGTTGAACTAGATTATGAGAAAATAGCTTTGCAAAATATATGATGCCACCACACAGGTTTTTATGTGCAATAAGCAGCATGAAAATACTAAATCATGTAGCTCCTTTCTCAGAAAGGACTCTATTCATATAAAATTATATTTAAAAATATTTAAGTTGCTCCAGTCTGCATTTCCAATAAAAATAACATGAAAGCACAGTAATTTCAAGGATTTTGCTGATCTCTGAATCACATACAGTCTAATCAATGTAAATATGGTTTTGCAAAAAACTAAATACATTGCAATTTCTATGGTGAGTAGTAATATCAGATGATTTACCTTTACTAGGATATTAAAACCTAAAAAACGGGAAATTCCAATAGAACTGCAGCTGTCAAAGCTGTTACAAACAATATCATGGCATATATACTATTTTCCTCCTAAAGTAGGAGCTAGAAGAGATTAAAGTATATTTGATTGGTAGAAAAGTAAAATTGGTATTATTTTAGCTTTAATCTTATGTTGCGCATTTAAGCCTGTTTTAACACAGTATTCAAATTTTATTTAGGCTTCTGCTTTCATATAAGCTTACTTATACTACAATAATTTTATAAAGGTCTAATGCTGCAGATGCACTTTCTAAATAATTTGATCAGCTGGATTAAAAATATACTTATTTTTCTGCCCTGTTTACCTACAGCTCAATCAGATGATGTCTCAAAAATAATGACTGTCTCCTAAGCTTAAGCGTTTCTTTTTACTGAAGATTATATCAACAAAGTATTCAGAAAATGGAGTAAAAGAATCAGAAGAGAGGGCTTATTTAGTGACAAAGCAACCGTAATGGGCAAGATGAAATGCTCACCTCCTGGAAGCTGTATGAGTTATGCATCTTCTTTACACTCATTTCGAACAGACTCAAAACTCCTTTACAGATGTTGAGACCATCCTCTGAGACAGTCTCAGGAGCCATAAGGTTTCCAACGTGGCCATTGCTATACTCAAATTTGATGGGATTACTCAGTTGTCCTGTTAGCGCCTGAGTCAGTTTGAGCGACCGAGAGAATGAGCTCGTAGGCCAGACACCGTTGTATTCGGCTGCTTCGATTGAGTGAATCTAGAAGAGACAGGAAATATAATTTCTCTTTTTTTTCTACTAACTTTTTTCAATGCATACAAATAAACAGCGTAAATATCATCTAGAGTCCTATTTACTTCAAAAATATAATTTTAAATAACACAAAGCCTCTTTAATGATATAACTTAACTTTCAGTCTACAGGTAACATATACATTTATATACATATATGTTGAGAAATGCAGATGACTGTACTGATGTTTCCAAGTCACTGTATGTTCTATTTAACAGATAATCCCTATTGACAAAGGTTGACTTGCATGAAAAAAAAAAAAAAAGAAAAAAAAAAAAAAAGGCAAGAGAAGAGCTGCATGAAGCAGGTTGCCTTCACCCAAAAGCAGGATGGAAGATCTGCTGGAAATTGCAGGAGAAAATTAATGTTGCATATAAAACATCATTAGCTCCTGTTGTGAACTCTGGCATCTTCCTCAGCGGGGTCACAAAGCACAGGCAGGAGTCAGAAACTAATAACGACATGGCTGCTGGGCCAGCCACGTGTCATCATCAGAGGAGCACTGGAGAGAGGTTACAAGAAGTGTCCTTCCCCATGTATTTTTCTGTACAGTGTGAGAGCCAAAGGCTCAGGCCAACTGGTACCTGCCCTATTCTGCACCTAGTCCTCTACTCTTAAACCTGGGATCAGCCTAAGTCAGCAAAAAGTTATGCTGTGTATAACTTGAACTATTTCTATACCATGTGAACGGAGCTTGTTTACTTTTTTTGCAACACTTTAGGCCTGGAAAAGTGATGCAAAACTCAGATCAGTTTCCCCAAAGCCACACCAACTAAATCCTCATGCAGCAAATCACTGGAGACTGCACTTTCATATTTATTTTTGTTACTTTTTTCGCAGAGATCACTGCCAACCCCAGTCAGTGAAGTTTACAGAGGACGCGGAGAGGAGCAGGTCCCTCATGCTACCTCTCAGACACGCTTCTGGCACGTCATGTAGGGGCAGGCTGAGGACGATGCTGCGGGGTCACTTCCAGCAGCTCCCCCAGCCTCGGGGCCCACGCAATACGCTGCCTGCTGCGGCTTCCAGCACTGCAGGCGCTTCAAACTGGCGGGCTTGTGAGGAAAAAACTGTCAGCTGGAAACCACCCAGGGAGCAGGGCTTTTTACTTGGGCTGAATGTGAACTAGTAGGCTAAAGATGAAAGATTAATTCTCTCAACAATCCCTCCAGCCTGTCTAATTTAAATGTAACAGCAGTAAACTAAACTTTTCGCAATGCAGAAGGGAATATATGTATCATTACCTTTCACTTAGAACTTGCCCAAAATCTTCTTTCTTTTCTCTCTTTTTTCTTGCCAGAAAATGTTTATTTTTTCAAACTGAAACCTTTCTCCAAGTGCACCAGAACAGGTGAAGCAGTATCAGAAAGATCTGGGGAACAGGAGGCAATTTTGGGGGAAGATGTACCCCAGCACAGCAAGGGCTGTTTCACCAGGACTGGTGGGGCAAAGACAAGACGTGGTCCTGCCTCCTCTCTGACAGGGATGCCTTTTACTCACCAGCACTGATGTACAGCTTCTAGTTGCTTGGGTTTTGCCCCACTCCCCCCCACCAAAAAAAATCCAGACATGTTCAAAGCTCATTGAAAAGCATGCTTCCTGTCTATATCTATTATAATTTGCAACCTACAAAAATACCTAGTAGCAGAAGGCTAGTTGAGACTTGGAAGCAACAGCATTTACAGACATTAATCAGACAGTCAACTTTTTTTTTTTTTTAATCTGCAGTTTTCAATTTGCAAAATAAAAGCTTTTAAGACGACTATTTTTCTTCTGCATATACAGAAGACAGAGCAGAATTTTTCTAACACAATTGAGGGATATGTTTCAATACATTCATTAGCAACACGTAAAGGTTTCTGTTAAGGCAGAAGTGTTTTTCATGTAATCAGAACTCTTAGTAATTACTCAGCATGCAGTAAAAATATACAATTGAGGATGACAAAGGGTGAAATTTAGGGCCCTGCAGCAAAAGAAGTAACCAGTAGACATTAATTATGCTAAATATTGAATCACATCCAACTACTGCTGCATGTTTTATTGCTTTTTGTTTTCTGGTTACGAAATCAGGTGATTAAATAATCCAAGGTTGTACAGTTTGGAACAATTGGATTGATCCAGTAATAAATTATTGTTCATTTCAAATTACATTCCACTGTCTCCCTGACCATAAAGCAGAAGAAATCCTTCAAGCCTAAGGTTGGCTTGAGCTGAGAATTACCTAGCAAAGTGCAAATAGAATTCAGGGCACTGAATAAAAATAATAGTGTTAGTTACATTCTGCCTGAGTAAGCACAACATCTGACGAAAGTTAATTACTTCCAAAAAGCTTTTTTTAAAAAAATAAATAAATAAAGAGAGAGAGAGAGAGTCAAGTATGAAGGTAATTTTACCTTTCAAATTAGATACATGCTCTTACCCTAAGAAAACAAAGTTTTGGCCCAATACGACTAATTTCCACTTTACTTCTCATTCTTATTCCAGCTCTTGCAAGTCCTTTCTCTGGAAGTCCACTGAGAAGTATACTTTCATAATTATATGTAAAAGCCTTGTTTTCACTGAAATCAGGTTCTGCAAAGAAATAGTTCCAGCAAAACATTATACATTATGTATACAATAAAATACCCCTATTAGTATGAAGGAGAAAAGATGATTTTTTTATATTTTTATATTGCATCTGAAGAAAATAAGAAATTTTAAAAATCATATTAAACATTGATATATTTTTCAGATTTTGAGTTTCATTTATTCTAATTATATTAGCTGATAGGAATATTACTTACGATAATTAAGATGCTGGCTCCCTGAAAGAGAAGGGGGGAAAAAAAAAAAAAGTGATGAAGTGACAAAGCAAGAATAATACAAAATTTCATATATTTTAGTATGAAAAGCTACCTCTCAGCTTGCACATATGGTGTAACTCTTTCCAGTTAACTTGGAACATAACTTAATATAACCAAAAGTCATAAATTGAATTTTCCTATAAAACTTTAAAGCTTGTATTGATAAATGAATCACATCTAGATTCTGAAACCTTTTTCTGACTCTTATTATTTGAAATCATCAAGGTAGATAAGTTACTTACCCACAAGGGTTAAAGCCAGGGCTAGTATCAACTCCCTCATGGTGGGGACAAAGTAAAGGTGAACATGTTGAGTTCTCTTTTATAAAGGTGTGTGCTATCACATGTTTCTTTTGGCATGTTGATTTGATAAATAAGTGTATTTTAGAATGTGTATTGATCAATCAAAGGATAAACATTTCTAACAGCATGAATGCTGACAACTTAAAACTTCATGATGGCAACTAATTTTACTCTGCGTGTAATACACAGGATTTATTTTTGAAATATCTTAATTCCTATTTTTCAGCTTCTGAACGCTGCAGTTATACAATAAAAGAATAATTTGGATATTAAAAAAATCAAAATAGTTCTTCAATCATAACGAGATTAACTTGGCCAATCATAGCTCTAACCATGCTTTTGATGTCCTGTTGAATTACTCTTGCTGAGGACCACAGCCTTGTTTACACATCTTAATCCTTAAGAAGGATACCTACTTGCAGAGGGAAATTTGTGACTGATTTTACAGTATTATATTTGAGATTCCTTTAAGCTCATAGTCATGCGAGGAAAACCATCTTTACACAGTTATCTATCACAGCTTTCTTTGCAAGCATATCTTATTGCCTTCACCTGGGAAAGATTTTCTCGGTATGCCCTTCACATCAGGTTCTAGCTAATAATCAAGATTTGCATTATAAAACAGGAGGAAAATTAATTTGCTTATGAGATGGTTCTAATAAAAAACAATACTTATGTTTCAAAAAACATAAGGACAGTCAAGTCCTCAATAGATTTTGGCTGCAGAGGTGCTTGGAAAAATGTATCTAAAAATTAATTATTGTAACAACATTCAGATCCATTCAGCAAAAGTGTACATTTAGTCATGAGTGAATTTGCTCCGTGCACTCAATTATACCTACTTTGGGAAACAGTTTAGCATTCATTTTAACATAAAGCTTTCCTTTTGGCCAAATGGCAAACTTAATACGACGTAGAAAGCATCTCCTTTCAGCGTCCAGGCACAGGGGTGTTAAGGGGGTATGGAAGGAGGATTCAGAAAATCAGAGTAACGCACAGAGCGCTAAACTCTCCCCTCCAGGAAGGACAAGGTTTTCTTGGGCTGCAGCTCTTCACCAGGGACGAGAGAGGTGAAACCAGGGCTTGGTCCAGAAGACTGGGAGCACATTCCTGCGGGTCCCTCTGGCAGCAGCTTTACACTCCTACTTCATTTAGTTGGAGTGATGCCACTGCGACTGCTGAGGAACAGTGAAGCTTCTTGCTGCGGTGCCAGAGTACACGAGGCAGCTCTGGACACAGCTGGAGCACAACCCGGGCCTGCGACCCACCACAAACAGCCATCACAAGCTCCTCTGTGCAGCCCCTCACAGCCAGGATCCCTCTGCAGAATCCCTGGAGCTGAATGGTGGCGAAAGCCAGGGAGTACCACAAGCCGAACAAGGACTACCTCATCTGGGCACCTTCGTTACTGATTCCCCCAGAAATCCTGGGGGCTTTTGACATTCAGAAATCTCACCTTTTCCTTTCATTAACAGAATAGATGTATATCTGGAGGGATAGTCAGATCTTTCTGGAAATTAGATGTAAATTTTCCTAAAATGAAATAATGCTTTGAGAAGTTGGTGCTAGACTACTCCCTCCTTACAAAGGGATCAGTTCATGTACCTTCTGATTCATCCAATTCTGACAGAAAAGGGGAAAGGAGCTATTAAAACTGTCTCAGCTGTAGCATTTTCATACTTTTAAAACCTTCAGTTACACCAGGCTGTCGTTACATACCCATTTACTGAAGGAAGAAATTCCTTGTCGCAGTTGTAATGTCTGCAACCCACAGTGGGAGGAAATGCCCAGGAACAACGCAAAATTCTTAGTACCACCATGCAAAATCCTCCTTGTTCACTTACTCTGCTTTTCTGGTACTGCTAATCACTGACAGAGCTTGACCTCTGCAGTAATTCTGTACTATATTGTATTATTTAACTCAGCAGAGAGAACAAAAATTATGTAACTAAAAATATCAATTTGAGTGATGTTATTAACAGCATATTGAAATAATGTCTAAGGGACATTTAGCTATAATCCTCTCTTTTTTAACAGATCGTTTCTATCTAGGTCTGAGTTCTTAAGAATGAGGACAAAGTGATCTTGACATTGTTGTATCCATTATTACTTTAAAAAGACAAGCTAATAAATTCAGTGAGTGGAAAGGAGAAGCCCCTAGAACTGGAGGGTCAGAGCACTGGGCTCCAGCCTTTTCTACAAAGCAGGCAGGTCCTCCTAGCTAGCTCTGAGAGAAAAACAGGCAATCTGTCAGTTCAATAAAATGAGTAAGAGGAGGAAGGATGTTCTTTAAAGCCATGATGATGGCATAGTAGTGAATATGAGAATACCAGAAAAATAAATAAAACTCAATTAAACAAGCCTTCTACAAATAACTAATTTGGTTGCAGAGGAAGGGATTTTAATGCGAGTATGGACTTTAGGCACGACTTGCATCATAACTTTTTTGGAGCTATAAACAATCAAGAGAAATTATTAAAAAGTGATGGTAAATATCTAGGATTTTAAGAGAATATGGTGTTGAGTGTAATAGGATGACAGCTGTATAAGAGGGCTTCAGTAAGATGAGGCAGGCTGCTTTGAATTTACAGGGTACTTGTACCATAAATGAAACATGAATGCAGCCTAATTAACCTGATTAGAGCTATTGCTTCTACACTGCAATTGTCTTTACATAACACATTCTGCTTGGGTAACAGAGTCTTATTATCTGCTGTTGTACTGCTGCCGATAGCTCTGCACTCGCCTTGTTCTGTATTCATGTTGCTGAATTATGGTGCAGCGATGCCATTTCCATCCTGCTAATATACAGCCTAACGACAAAGCAGGGATTAGCAAAACAGCTCCCAAGCAATCACAGCTGGTTAAAATACATATAATCAGTTGGCTAAACTAAGTGATTTTTAGCTTTCAGAATTCCTTATTTCTAAAGAAACCTTACTTAAAAATTATATAAAAAAACACAAAAAGCCCTCATACCTATTTTAAATTTAACATGCATTCCTTGAATTTTTTTTCCAAGATATTCAGCATTTGCTATTGTAGCAAAGCCTTCAACACAGTGTTTGATATTCTCTCCGGAGACTCTGGACAGTGTCTAATGAATAAGAATGTGTTATGGGTTGGGCTAAATTGCCATATGCTGATTCTAGTACATTCACAAAGGAATTTTATTTCATTAGCTTGATTTAAAAGGTGATTTTTGATTTTCGCTTTTTATTGGACTTCCATTCCTTTCACTAGAAAGAAACAAAAAGCCCTACTGTTATCCCACTCATGTTGGCACACCACCAGTGGAGTGGTAACTGCAGGAATCAGATAAAATATTCGCAAAATTAAAGAGGTAGGAATGATATTTATATTTTGTCTAGCTCTTGGAAAATACATGATTTTAAAGAAGCTGCTCATATAGTTTTATAGTACAACTGGTAGAATTTATTTTCAATAAATTTGACTTTCATTAATATATGCAGTTAAACTGCAACCATGTATTTGTGCATTTCAATGAACTTCTCAATGGGATTGTTTCTGATGTCTAGCACGGTTCCACCTGTCATTTACAAAAAAAAGAATGAAAGTGAGAAAAAGAGGGGAAGACTGTGGAATTGAAAATTCCAGCATTCTTGATGTGCAAATTAATTACTTCGCTGCAACTTAGAAATGTTTAAAAGCTTTTTTTTTCTTTTTTCTTTTTTCTTAATTCAAATACATAAAACATTTTGGAGCCTTATAATTCACCACCATTGCTATGATCATGAGTTCATGAGCTAGCCTACTAATTAAGCAGCTTTAGGATTTTTCCCCCTTCTTTCAGTATATGCTATTTCCCAAGTCATTCATTAGGGTTAAATGTCAGACAACTTGCCATCTGAGATTTGAGCCACGTCATATTTGAGGACTGGTGTTTGTTATGTAATTCTATTGCACTAGAAGATAACTTCTCCAAGTTTATCTTAACCCTAATTTAGACTTCACGGTCACAGAGTGATTAGCTTTTCCTGTCAGCACCAATGCTGCAAATCAAGCAGCCCTGGAATTTAGCCTTACCCTATCTCCCCCTCAGTGATTTTGGGAATGAAGTGGTGACTGCACAGTAAGACACCGGACAGCCTGTGAGCACTGTATTCAACAATGTTCTTCTACAGGCTGAGGCACTGCTTGTAATTGCAGTCTTGGTTAGAGCTGTACATTATTCAGCGAGAAAAACACTCGTGTAACGTTTCATCGGATATACTGCACATTACAAAATGTTAGCACTGTGTTTGCTCACACATCTTTGCACCGCAGCTTCATTCACCACGACCTGCAAGAGAGGCGAGGGGGAGCCGAGCCGTTCTGCCTGCCCCAGCAGTGAGGAGGCAGAGCACGGCCTGGTGAAGAGGTTTGGAGCAGCCTTCCTGCAGAAGGTGCCACGGCCAGAGGAGCTACAGGGCAGCCAGCACTGCAGAGGGGCCTCTGCAATCCACCACCCTGGTGAGGATCCTCCATCCACAGAATAAGGCCTGAAGGGAGTCTTATGTCTTTCTCCTTTACACTAGGCCAAGTGTATTAAGATATAAAACTGCAGACTCTCCTGAGAAAGGATTTGGGCTTATTATTATTTTCTTTAAGTGTGGAACTGTACAAATACAAAATGAATGCTCTGAATTGTTATTTATTCTGTGGTTTCCCCTGAAAGATGTAAGATTCTTTCTGAAGGAAAGTATTGACTTTTCCCCAGGAGCCAGTATTTCCAGGTATAATGATTATTATTTTTCCATTTTTTAGACCTTCATCTGAGTAATGTACTCCTTCATAGCCCTCGACCACTGTCAGAGCATGATGGATCTGGATTAGTTTTCTGTAGTAGAAAATCAGATAAGTTTATGACATCAGGATGCAAGCTCAGTATAAACTTACTCTAGGTACAGAATACATGAGGAGTGCGATGCCTTCGTTTCACGACACTAGGTCACTGTGACACCAGGTCATGGGTCAGAT